CCGCCCGCGCCGCAGCTCCTGGGCCCGGCGGCAGGTGGCGCTGCGCGTTGTGCTGTGTCACCGGGCTGGAGGCGCCGCGGTCGGGTGCGGGGGGAGGGCTCTGGGTAGCTGCTTCCCCACCAGCTCCCTCCTGTTCCTTTCAGGTGCTGAGCCGCCTAGGGGTGGCCCCCGGCTGGCGCTTCGTGGATGTGCTAGGCCTGGAGGAGGACTCGCTGAGCTCCGTGCCCCGCCCAGCTTGTGCGCTGCTGCTGCTCTTCCCCCTCACTGAGCAGGTAGGTGCCAAGGGCTGTGGCATTGTCCTGCCAATGTAGAGCCTCCCCAGTGAGTGTGGCTGCACTGATGCCAAGCCTCAGCCTTGCTGTACCCTCCTATGGGGACCCCACTGCACCAGGGCTGCGGTAAGTGCTGTGTGTCATGACATGGCTCTGGGGGAAGGGTGGGGCACAGCAGTTCCCCTTGCAGCCACGGAGAGGCACCTGCTTGTTGATACAGTGCGGTGACATAGCTGTTCTTGCAGCGAATCTGTAGCACTGTTTCCTTAAACTTTCTGGGCCTGTGCCATGAAGCTAAACAGCACCGTCATGTCCAAATCCCTGGCTGCTAGAATTCAGTCATCATGAGCTTGCTCCAAACTGATAAGCCCTTGTGGATGCTGAACCTGCCTCTTGCAGCAAGATGCTGTGGGATTTCTTCTGCTAACTGGAAATCCTTCAAAAATTGATAAAACAGTAATTAATGTTACATCACCCTAAACTTTGCATCATGTGAGATGCCTTGCCATCTCCTAGGTACTGCATGTTCTCACTGCACCTTGCAGATTGTCAGAAGGTAATCCTACCTCTGGCAGGAGGTATAACGAAGGCAAAAAATACCACCTACTAATTATCTCAAAAGGTTAGGGAACAAATGTTCCTTGACTTGCTATCTTGTGGATTTGTACCTACACCCCAAATAAGCAGTGGGACCATCTTGGAACAACAGTGCCCGAAATAGAGGTGGCAGTAGCTTGCATAACTAAAACATCAAAATACAGGTAACTCTAACTTGGTCGTCTTGTGTCTTTCCCCCTTCTGCCTTTTTTTTTTTTTCCTGGCAAATGGGAAGCAATAACAATGTGGACCAGTAATCAGGCTGTTTTTTTTTGTGTTCTAACTAGCGTTACTCCCAAGTGTGTGTGTGGTGTGTGTTTGGGGTTTTTTTTATATATGGGCACTGTGTCCACTTCAGAAAAATTAAAACTCCTTAAGATGATGATATGGCTAAATGACAAAGCTCTGATACAATAGTGGCTTGTTTTCATTTTTAACCAACAGCATTAAACAAATCAATATAACGGAGGTTAGAATCCTGAGAGCCAAAGTAAAGACTTGCAACTAAAAATATGAGTTGCATGACTCCATCTTGAGAGAGAGCTTGTCTCATGGAGGGTAATCTTCCATGAGACCTGGCTGCCACTTCTGGCTTAATCAAGTGTGTGGGGAAAATGGTAGTACAAGAAACTCCATTTGTTGATTTCTTCCCATGGTAGTGTTGTGTATACATATACAATCACAAAAACACTTGCTTCTTCAGCAAGCTCTTGGATGGATAGATGTGATGGATTTGAAGGTGTTCACACAAATTTTAAACAAACTTCCTGACCAAACATACATATCTGCCCAAATTCAAGATAACGGCTTTCCTTTCTCCCCCCCATTATTAAATGGGGGAAGACCAAAAAAAAACTTCTTTCTTTAATTCTCCTGTATCTAGGATCTAACTTACTGGAGGGCTCACTTCTGAATCTTGGGCTGGCAGCCCCCTGACACTATCTCTTCCTTCCTCTCCATTACCACCTCCTGCTGCCTTCCTGTCTGCCCCTCTCATGCACCTACCCTCTGCCTCCTTTCCCATCCTGGGTCTGGGACTGGAGTTTCCCTGCTGCTGCTGCAGTGTGGTCAGGTAGTGGCTGGAGCTTCCATGTGCCCTGCTCCAGGAAGAACAAAGGGGGGGGGGGAACAGGACACAGGCTGTGGGGACTTGAGGGGCAGATGGCAGCTGCTGCAGCTCAAAAAACAACCCTGAACCTGGGTTGGTGGTGCAGTAGCTATCTCTACCCTCTCCTCTACTCGAATCCAAGAGGAGGGGCTTCTTCTCTCACCCCACAAACTGAATGCAGTGGGGAAGGATAAGACTAGTCATGGACTTGAGTAAACCTGGTAGTGTGTGGAGCCCCATGTTAAGATTTAAATTGGGTCTTGGAAAAAATATGGTAGTGCACTAGTAGATCCTATCCTTATGAAAGACTCTAGTCCAGCAAGCTTACTATCTTTCCTTTGAGGATGGCTTTCTGGCAGATTTTTCTGTTCACTCTCCTTGATACTTCAAACAGTATGTGTCCTTTTTCCAATGCTTTCAGTCTTTATTGTTAGAGCTCGGTAGTTTTGTATCTATCTTGACTTTTTTTTTTTTTTTTTTTCTTCTTACATACTTGTAGCATGAGAATTTCAGGAAACAACAGATTGAAAATATAAAAGACAAAGAAGTCAGTTCCAAAGTGTATTTCGTGAAGCAGACTGTGAGCAATTCCTGTGGAACAATTGGCTTGATCCATGCAGTTGCCAATAACCAAGACAAAGTGATGTTTAGTAAGTGTATTTTGTGCTTAATGCCAAATGGCTCAAAAAGGGAGTGGAGTATTTTGACAGCCCTGGCTTGTTCCAGATCCATTCTGTGTAAAGATCTTGTACTTGCAACTGAACTTGCTGTGCTCCAAGGCTGGATGCATACCTCATGAGGTGTTCTGTATCTTTCAAGAACTCTAATTTGTGGTGATCACCTGTTCTAACTCTAGAACTGCTCTGAGCAACAAAGGAGATGGGCAGTTGCAGAATACCCATCTTGCAGCTGCTACAGCACCAGGATGCTGGCATTGGGCAGGAAAGCCTCCTAATGGCTATGGAAACTAGTTAACAGCATTTTCACTACCAAGTCCAGAAGGGTACTTCCATTGAAATGCTACCAGAAGCAGACTGAAACCAAAATGGTCATAAATGACTCCAGCCTGTGGACACCAGTGTTCACTTTTCTAATGAAAAGATAACTATTCAGATGTGGTTTGTTATCTTACTAGGTGCAGCAGAAACAGTTTCCCTGATAAAACCTTAACAAATTGCACTTACAGAAGCACTGCAGATTCAATCTGTTGGTTGTCAGTCCTTGTGACAGTTTTTACTAGGTTAACTTTGAGGTTTGGGCTAGGCTGTAAAATCTTCCAGTAATGCAAACTTTGTACAATGTAAGGTAACTGTGATCTATCACAGTCCATAAAAGAAGAATAAGTCTGTTTGCATATAATCAATGACTAGAGGGTGTTTTTTGTCTTCAGTATGTGGTTTTTCTGTTAGGACTTGCTGAAATTGGAGACCTCCTTTGACAAATACACTTTATTGCAAAGGGCTAGTGTTCTCAGCATCTCCAAAAGCCAAGGGAGGGAAGAACCCAAATTATAACATGGCTCTTGAATGAGCTAGCTTTTTTTAATGGGAAAAAATAAGTGTGCCTTAATGATGTGGAGGGAGGTGGATATGGAATTCCAAAGGCAATACAGATCATGCTGTAAAATCCAGATGTTCTTCCTAGCTAATGTCTTCCTGTTTGAAGCTGGAGCATATGCAGCATAACTTTCAGATAATACCCAACTAGTTATAAGAATGTCATTCCCTTGTCTTCTCTCCCACCTTCCTCAAGTGGTCTTCAGCTATTGGCAGTCCCACTGGAGGAGTAGGGACCTCACAAAACAGCCTTTAGGGCTACTTTTTTTTCAAAAGAAAACTGCTCTTTGGATGCAGTGTTCACCAGAGGCTGGGGTGCTCCTCCAGAGGTAAGGTCCTGCTGCCCCATGGCTTATAACTGAGTGAACTTTTGGCAGGTGGAACTTTTAAAAATATTTTTAGTTCTACAGTTCTAGGTAGTATGTGTTGATGCTAATGGAGTGTACTCATGGCATGCTACTTGGCTAAATGAGTGCGTTTTTTAAATTTTAACTAAGGTCTAAACAAGTATTATTTATAATTTTGGCAAACACTTGCACAGATGAAGGGTCTGCCCTGAAGAAGTTTCTCAATGAAACAGCTGATCTCTCTGCTGAAGAAAGAGCAAAAAGCCTGGGAAGCAATAAGGTATAAAAGCTAAATTTTAGAATTGTACTGCTATTGGCACTTGCATCTTATTAATCTAGACTTGGCTGCTTCTTTCTTCAGGCCATACAGGAAGTCCACAATGCTGTTGCACAGGAAGGCCAGTGTAGGGTAAGTGGCATGGTATGTTTGGAGTGGGATGGAAGATGTTGGCATAGGGCTTACAACTTCTCTTTTTTTTTTTTTTCCTTTTGTATAATCTTCAATATCAAGCTAGTAGCTTAGTTTTCTAGGGAAGGAAGAAAAAACTCCTCAGAGCCTCTGCCTAGCAGTCAAGGATCATACTACTACTTGGCTTGTTCCAGCATTCCAGTCCTTGCTTCTACATCCCTTTTATTTATGCAGAAGGAATTGTAAGTGATCAGGGGCTTCACCTTGCTCTGGTTGACTTTCTAGAAAGGGACTTGAGATGATCAAGACTTTTGTACCAAAAAAAAAAAAGGCCAGGAATCTTAAAGGCAGCCAACCTAAAAATCACAATAGGCAGGGTAAAAATGGCAGTTAGTCACTTAATACTAAGCTGGTCTGACTTGTGAGATGAGACCGTATGATTCCATTTTCCCAGAGGAACATGGTGGTTACTTGAAGTACAACTAGATATTCAGATATAGAATTCCAGAAATGTAGCTGCAGTCTGGATCCTTTTAATTTCATGCACTGTTTGCCTTGTATCCATTTTAAACTGAACTTTATTGTGTCCTTTTTCTAGGTAGATGATAATGTGAACTTCCATTTCATTCTGTTTGTCAATGTAGATGGAAACCTGTATGAATTGGGTAAGATGACACGCACATCTACATTCAAAGCGAGTTAAACTTACAAGCTAGGTTGTCTTGTAGTCAGGACTCTTCTTATGTCTGAAGTCATAACTTCTCTGTTGGCCTCCTGACTCTTCTATTCAGTCTGCATATTTCCAGACTTTTTTTTTTTTAAAAGGATTTCTAATTGAAGTTGTTCTCCAGAGGGCTGGCCTTAGAACAGAAGCAGTAGTCTGACCTCCTCAATCCTCATAGCCAATATTGTATCTGCCTCTCCTGTCCCTCTTGACGACCTTCATTTTTATAGAGCAGAGTACTGACTATAGTAGCAACTGCCTGTCCAGGAAAGCAGGAACAAAATTCCACAATTTGGAAGCTGTAAAAGTACATATCTAACTAAATGAGGTTCTGTTTCATCCTAGATGGGCGCATGCCATTTCCTGTAAACCATGGAACCAGTTCAGATGACTTGCTGTTGAAGGTAGGCTTTCTCACATACCTCGCCTGTGTAAAATAGTGTCTTATTTGTTTAAAAAACCTAAGGCCATAAGATAGAATGCAGTCAATCTTGCTAGATGAACTGTTTTTAAATCATTTGTTCTTGTGGACAGAATGCAAAATAAGAGAATTCTGTAGGTACCATGTCAGGTATAAGTGGCTATAGGATGAGCATGGAGGTATCTGGCTGCAGTAAGTGAGGGTGTTGGAGTTCAGGTACTCTAAGCATAACAAGTATTCTGGGGGAATATTTTTCTTACTACTGGTTTCATGTATTATGAGAACATGTTTTGTCTCTTTCTCTAAGGATTCTGCCAACATCTGCAGACAATTCACAGAACGTGAGAAGGGAGAAGTTCGTTTTTCTGCTGTAGCTCTCTGCAAGTCTGCTTGAGATTCCAAAGAGGAAATGCAAGGAAAGCAGTCTAATAGCACATCAGTAAATGCAGTCTTAAGATTTTTTCAGTGCTTGTTAAACACAGCTGTTTTGGTCAATTTAAACTGTTTCCACCCTCTACTAATAAGCAACATAAGTGGAGTTTAAGCTAAATGAGCTCAAACACTAATATCCACCATTTAGGCACATCAGATGTCTCTCAACTTTTTTTTAAAGACTCTATTTTCACGTTGAATAGAAAATGCTTTACTTGGCTTGTTTAACTTGTCTGTAAGCTAAGCTGTTGATTGTGATTTCCTTGTACTGAATATGAGAATAAAACCTTCTGCTAAGGGAAAACCTGACTGAATTGATAATTGATTTAGATATTAATGTCAGAGCAAGAGTAACAGATGGCCTTACCTATGTGCTGGGCATACTGGTCCCAACAAAGGACATAACTTTTATTTAATTTTTGTATTTTATTTTTTATGTGGCACTTGCTGAACAAGGCCTTGGTACTGTAGTTGAGCTATTGCCTCTTTCTAGAAATTCAACTCTCTTATTGGGTGGTGGTAAATGATGAATGGGTCCTGAGCTTCTGTATCTTGTTGCATATACTCCTCTTTTTTTTTCTTTCTCCTTGCTTCCCTTCAGATCCCAACAAGCTGTGCCTCCAGGATGGGAGGGGGGGACCTAGACCAGGATTCTTATCCAACAGTAAAATATTTGCAGATTCTACTGTAGTGTTTTTTGTTTTGACAGAGGCAGCCCATCAAATGTCTTTCTCAAACTCCTTAGATTCAAGGCTACCCTTGGAAAATGCCAGTTAGTAGGAGCAGCAGCAAAAGCACTAATTCTCTTTTAAACAGCACCCTCTCACTGGTCTTTCTCATTACTGAGCCTTCAGATTTAAAAATAAAACAAACCTTTAACCTTTTACTGATCACTACAATGAACACTGTCATCTCTTTCTGCCCTACCCCTCCCCAATTTTAAAAAGTGCAAAACTGTTTTCTGGTAAGTTGTACTCTTTCTTCCAATCTTAATGTTAAAAAAACAAACCATCCCTGAATGAGTGAAGTGATCCATCCTCCACTATTCAGTACTAACGAGGTCTCCCTTGGAGTCTTGTGTCTAGTTCTGAGCATTGCACTTCAAGGAAAAAATGTGGACAGATGGAAGAGTCTAGTGAAGAGGTCTGGGAAATGATTCATTAGGAGAGACTGGACTAAATAGCTTGCTGTGTTGTAATACCTATAGGCTCCTTCAAAAAGGGGATGATACTGGCTATTCCATCTAGCTGCATGGAGTAGGACAAGGAGCAATGGTCTTGCATTGCAGCAAGGGATGTTTAGGTTAGAGATGTGCAAAGCGGCTCCTATTGAATTTTTGGATTTAGATTCAGCCCAAACTGGGGACAGTGATTCAATTCAGCTGCATCTGAGTGAAGATAGACAGCTTTAAATATTTTTTTTCTACGTGTCTTGATGTACTAGCACAGCTTGTGAAAGCTGTGATGCTGGGGCACATGGAGCATCCTGCAGGAGTCCAGGGGGTCCTCCATGTGCTTGGTGGCAAACCCAAAAGTAGACTGGAAGCACTTTGGTCTGCTTCCAGGTCTGCCAGAAAACATGGTGGGGGGGGGGAGGGGCATGTGCCCCTGGCTCAGTGATTTGGCTGAAGGGGGGGAGCCCAGATGCCCCTTCCAGACCCCGGAGGCACCAGTCACTGAGCTGGGGGAGGGGAGAAGAAGTATATGTTAAGCAGCTTTAAAAGAAGGGAGAAATGTTTGAATTGGTTCTGTTAGGATGGTACATGGATTTATATGAAGCTCTCTGGCTACTTGCTAACCCTCTCTTCTTTCAACAGCCTGGCTTCAGGTCCTTCATGTAGTATTATTTGGTTTCTCTATCAAACTTACTTAGTCCTTTTATCTACCCCTGTTTGCTTCTGTTCCACCTGCCTCAGATTTTCTCCTGGTGGTAGACTCCTGTATTGGATGTCTTCCCACATTACTCTCCTTTCTGTGCATCATCCCTAAAACCTGCCATTGACTTTCTAAACCCCACCCCCACTTATGCCTGGTCAATGACTCTGACCTGTATTTGTAAATTTTATCCTGGTTTCCAGTATGTAGGTCATTATTTGGGGGCCGTTGGTTTTGGGAGGCCATGGAGATTGCAGCTTTGGTGGATTACCAGATACCACCATAATTTCTTAAATGCCTGAGGAGTCTGATGTGAGACGAGCAGACTCTGACAACCTGCATGTACAAATTCAGTTGAGCTTGTGCTGGCATGCTGAGTACAGTCTTGTCTGCAGGCAGATGAAACTTAAATACTAGTTAATCTCTGGGTGTTATGTATTGCAGATCTTTAGACTCTGTTCTTTGACCTGGCAGCTGGAATCAATGGTACACAAGATAAAAGGGCCTTTTGGTAAAGAGAACAAAAGTTCAAACATCAAGGTTTGGAGGTTAAGCATCCAAACCTTTTCAGCATCTATTACTGTGACAATATAAGCTAATCCAAGGAAAAGATCTGTCTGGAACATCCTCCCCCTCTTCCTTGGTTCTGGGAAAGTATAATACACCTAAAAAGCTCAGAGCTCTTAAGCCATAAGTTACTACACTAAGTGTGCCCCATCTTCCTAGGGTTTTTGGGGGTTTTTTTTTCCCCAGAATGATGCTATCAGTTAAATAACTATAACTGAAGGGAAAATACTTAAGTGTGCTTCACTAAAGCTTATTTAACAAATGTTGCATATTCCAAGGCTTGAGTAAACTTGCCTTTAATTTGCTACACAGTTAATGGAAGAAATTTTAAGGTTAATTCATTGTAAGTGGTTCATATACAACCAGGCAGAAGTTTGTAGTACTTGGAATAAATTGACCAAACACTTGTTTAACTGTTGATCTCCCACTATGGAATTGTCATTTATAAAGTAAGGATTTCTGGGAAATGTAATAACTCATGTAAAACCACATGAGCTTCACTCTCCCTCTGTAGAAGGGAATGGCAGCATTGCATTCTGTCTGGTTATTACTGGGAACTGTTGCTAGGTGCAGGTACGTAGGCCTAGTGCATCATCTTCATTGTCACCAGGCACACGCTCTCCTTTCATAGACCTTCTGTTCTGTTTCTATGCTCTACCATCCAACTGAGAGATGCCTGGTGCCTAGCAACAGATCTGCCTGAAAGGAAGCTGTATGTGGTGTGAGCACAAGGAACACATAGTAGTAGGAGGGGGGAAATACAAAGGCAAGGCAGCCATTCAGAGCACCTGAATATACCTGATATGGTTTTAATATGCACAAATTTTATGAGTGCAATAGAAATTTCTTTTTTCCTAGAAGGTTATCACATAAGCTCTCCATAATATTTTTGCCTGTTCCAGTGCTGAGCTCTGCAGGCCAACACAAAACACAATACAAATCTTGTTTATAGTTGTTTATAGCAGATCATGTTTTATTGGTTAGTGGAAATAAACCTGCCTGGTACCAAGCTGGTTTTATTCCATGCATATATATGTTAACTGTTCCCTTTCTGACTCGTGTTTGTATTTAATTTCTAGGCACCCATCAGAAGAAAACTATTTTGGGGTGTTCCACAAGGAAAAAGCAGGTGAGAGCTGCAACTGGCTGTTTTTCCTCTTTACCTCAGCTGTTCATCTCTGATGCAGCCTCTGAAAATGAGTGACAGTCCTTCCAGCTCCCCAGTGTGCCACTGGATGGGCAAATGAAACGAGAGGGTAGCTCCCTTTCCTTTTTCCGGCAACGAAAAATTCTCATCTTGGAGCTGAGGGAAATACAGCAGAAACCTGGGTAAAGTGGATCAGGGATGCAGAGCAGAAAGGAGAATGTAAACAATGGGGGAGGGCAGAGAGGTAAAGAAGAAGGTATTGAGGAACAATGGGAACAAGGATAGAAGTTCTGAGGGCTTCCTCATTCCTCAGCTGCAGAGGGAAGAAGACGTTTGTAGTGGGGAGATACTAACCGGTTGTTCTCCCCCTCCAAAAAATACCATGAGGAAGTAGCTTGGTCTTCCCCACAAGAAAACTACAGGTAAGGAAAGGGAGTGGGATAGGGTGAGGTGGGGATTGCAGAATATCCCAAATTCTAGATAATTACTTCAGCCTCCTGAAACTGAAGAACTCATGGCCATTATCTGTTCTGAAGCAGTTTCCAAGGGTCACAGTCCTGTAGTGCTGGGTGCTATTGAAAGACATACCTACAGAAATGACCTGTGGATCTAAATATGTACAGGATGAAAGACAAGATCACTAAGGAGAACTATTCTACAGTTGCTCGGGGATGTAGGGGAATGGTTAGGAAGGCCAAGGCAGAGATGGAACAGGGGCTGGCTTCCCGGATTAAGGACAACAAGAAGCCCTTTTTTAAATAGGGAGTAGAAAGAAGGCCCCAGGAAATGTGGGGCCCTTGCAGGACAAGACGGGGAATCTGGTTGTCATGCCAGATGACAAAGCCAACATATTTAATAACTTCTTTGCCTCTGTCTTCCTCAGTAAGGACCAGAACTGCCACCTCCCTGCTGGGCCCCCTT